GCCACAGGACTGCTTGAGAGTGCATATATAGCGATATATAGCTGCATAGCATGTAGCTCCTGCTATCTATGTCAGAGAGACATCAAGATCATCACATGCCCACATGTCATCCACAAACCGTTTCAGGATTTGGATGTGGGCGATCCGCGTCTCTGACTCCTCCGCAAGATCGCTCGAGGCGTCACAGCGCCTCCGGCAAGAGGCGGAGCAAGCCACCCTGCAGGCGAGACGAGTAGCGTCCTTGCTCCTAGTAGTGATGCCAGGAGCCCCTAGTAGTTGCAAGACGAAAATAGTTCAACCTAATAGCAATGACCTCCAACCTATGCATGTCCAATGGGGAGCCCTTTTGGGCACACTAATGTGGATATCCCGGTGATTTCGTGATCAGTACCCGTTCATGTTTCTGTCGTTCGTTTGAATCGAAGCCTTGAAAAATACGAAAAACTCTGTTGGGTCACTCGCAACCTTGGTTGAAACGCTGTTTAGAAGACCTGGGGTTACCTCCTACAACTACCTCCTACAACGTCCAACACCCTCACACTACTGTACATCCTTTAGTCCTACAGCCCATCCACAACTTTTGATCCTTTATCATGTGTTCTTTGTCTTTAATCTGAGGATTCATACTTGTGAGTCGCCAAATAATTAGTGTAGATACACAACTGTTGAAATTCCTTTGAAGTCATGGGATTGGGAATCTGGGACTGTGTCACATTTTCCAAGGTGACAATGTACTATATGTAATATTATGTAAGTAACATCAATCTTTGTTCTCTACAGAAGCAACCACACGGTCGCCGGCCTCCTTGCAGGGCATGCAAGAGGCAGCACACCATCTGTGTAAAAGTAACAATTAGCATGATATCTGCCAATGCATCAGTGCGCAAAACAAGCGAAGCCGCAGACAAGTAAGGAACATTAAGTAACCACACTTAGGCACAAAGCAAGTATGCACGACCCGGATTTGATCTGGAAAAAGATGCCGTGCTTGCAAGAACGAGATGGTAGATTTGGATGATCAGGTGTTGCCAGAAACCGGCGTTTATGGTTATGGGAGCAGATGTTGGTTCTCCCCTTGTTGTCAGGTGCAGGCCCGGTACAATGAGATTCTCGTGGCCTTGGAAGAGCCCTGTGCCCTCCACTTCGAGGTGCTTCTAAACCAACCTAAAAGAAACTATTTAGACCGTGTTTTTCATATTTGTTATTTTTTCTTTGTTTCTGCAGTAATGGCAATGACCTCCAACCTAATAGAGATGGCCTCCAACCTAGAAGCGATGGCCTCCACAGGTGGGTTTTGTCAGAGCTCATCATGTTCGATACATGCAATGATACACCATTTGCTTCATTCATCCGTCTGCTTCAAACCCACGCGCTGAGCCGCTGTCAGGACTACATGCTGGATGACGACCACCCAAAAGTACATGGACTCAACTTGTGGAGGATTCAAATGGACTCGAACATATTTTAGAGACATGGAGTGACTGCAAAAGACTCGAATAGTGGTTGCAAGCCGTTTATCAAGCTATTGTATGTTAGTCCAACGTGCACTTCCACGAAGGCACCGAACATTTAAGCTGAGCATCTGACGCCTGAGGTCAGAGCGCATGTCCAGTTGATGAAGTCCTTACAGCGAAAGTCGGCAGCAAACTTGGATGGAAACCCGACACCTTCCGAGTGAAATTTGCGCAATTTGTATTTGATTTGTGTTTGTTTTCTTTTTTTAGGCGGGGTAGGCCGAGAAGAAGTAGTAGCTAGGTGCCAGGTTTGCTAGCAGAAGCTAGGTAGCTAGTAGCTTAAGTAGCCACTACTGACAGGACGCAGGATAGCTCACGCTTCTTCAAGAAGCTACTTAAGCTACTAGCTACCTTCGTTCCTAGATTTAGGGAAACGTAAGTCATTTACTTTCTTGCTTTGGGATCTCCAGAAAGGCCGTCACAGGGTGGGGGCAGACAATTACAATCGAGTATGAAAGTTCTCGAGCTTTGAGCGCCAGGTGGGCTTTGTCAACTTTAAAGCTGTGGGTGATGCTTGAGGTGGCTTGTTTTCGCCCAGGTTTACACCAAGAAACGAGGAGCAAAGCAGGATTGGCTTGAAAAGTATGACAGTCACCGAACGAGGACTGCATGGGAAGTGTATCACTCGAGTCTTACTTGTGCAGAGTTTGGATGAATCACAAGGTTTCTGTTCATCAGTGTTACTCACCACCTACAAGACGAATCTATTGAGCATAACAAGTCTTCGGGCAGTTTGGACACCACGCTACTGGCAAGCACTGACTACACAATGCACATCAAATCACCGAATCCCATATTATCAAAGGCGCTTCAATCCTGTATACAATCGCTTCATAACGCCCCTTGCCCACAGATTGCAGTTGTCGCCTTGTCACGAAAGCTAGCGAAGCTAGCTGGAGTTACTCTTGCGATAGCAAGGTTTCTTTCGACCGGGTGCAAATCCTAACCCCTGATTTTTCAGGTCGAAGACCCCCCCCCCCTCCCTCCTCCCCTCTCCCCTCTCCCCTCTCCCCTCTCCCCACCCCACCTCCCCTCTCCTCCTCCTTGTCTTCCTCCCACTTCCTCCCACCTTCCCTCCCTCCCTCCCTCCTCCCTCTTCGTAAGTTCGACTCCGTCCTGTCGTCGCTCTTTGGCATGCGGTTAGCGTTGCGTATCTTGCGGCCGCACTCGCTCACTCTCACTGTCTCACTGTCTCTCTCTCTCTCTCATCTCTCTCATCTCTCTCATCTCTCTCATCTCTTTCTCATCTCTCTCATCTCTCTCTCCTCTCTCTCTCTCTCTCTGTCTCTCGTCTTTCCGTCTCTCTTCTCTCTCTTCTCTCGCAGGAGGATCCGGGCAAAGAGCCACATATAAAGGACTCTTCACCCCTGCCTCCAAAAAGAGCGCCGTGTTTTTTTCCTACCTCGCTGCCCTCCACTTTCCCATTCTGGAGCGCTAGCTTTCGCCCCCCCCCCTTGGCCTCAAGTCATGTTTCTGAAGACCTCGGTCTCAGATACCCTCAGTCTCTTCCTTTTTGCGCTTGGTGTTCTAATTTCTGGGCAGTCAAATCTGCTCCAATCTTTTTGTCATCTCCGGTAGTATGAACTAATATGACCTACCCGGGTGGTTGTGTCAAGCGACTTGCATGCAGCTACATTGTGCTTGTTTGGGATGAGAACTCTGATAGTGGCTTGGGGGGGTCCCTAACTCAAGTGGCCCAGGATTTATAATATGTCCTTTTCTAGGCGCTATCGTTTGGAGCTGTCGCACTCCATGTTGTTCCTTACACACGACAGGAACGACTACAAGTACGACCGCCCCTATACCGCTGTGCGGGATGCGGAGTTCCTCCAGGTCGCGAAAGACCAAAGAAAAACACAAGTCTCTTATCATGCACCAACACCTGGTTTTTACAGTAACTTGGAGGATTCATTAACGCCGACAAAAGCACGTGATGTCCATTTAGCAGGAAGCCCAGGGTTCCTTAGAATGATATAGTTTAATAAAACATATGGTTGTTGCCTTGGCTGTGCCCAGACTTTTGTACCAACACATCACGTTCATGAAAGAATGTGTGTCAAAAGCTGGAAGTTGTTCTTCTACGCCAAAGCTGGCAAAGCTGAACCAGAAAAGCAATGACACTTGGAACGAGTTGGTCTCTTTTGCAGTTTATGCTTTGCGTTTCTTTCTGGAGACGTCAGGTTTTGAACGAGCGCGAAAAAGAGCTGCTCGATTTGAAGTGCCGTTCTCTTAGACCATTCAGCCCAGCAAGTCATTCTACTGGCGCTGGCCTCCAACCTATCTATCATCAAACAAATCGTTTATATGTTGGTTTACCTTTTCTCAGTGCGCCATTTTGCCGATGTATGCTTTGTTTCGCTGCAACTTCGGTCAAGCCATGTTGGTGGGGTGCTTTGAAGGCCTCCAGTGAAGGTGCTGGGTCAGAACTGGGTACAGATGCCTCGGGATGTGGGTTGTCCAAGGTTTGGACATCATGAATGAGCAGGGCAAGGACTTGCTTTCACGAAAAGAGCTTGTGTCCATAGGTCGTGTTCATGGGAGAACTCACAGGAACTCTACACATAGAAATAGAAACCCAAAACTTTTGTATTCACGCCGACCCCCAATCCAACCAACCAAGCACCATAGAAACATACATCAGATGTATCGGAATTCATGGAATGGAATGCCTTGAATCGGCTGGCCGCCTGGCCGCAGCGCCGCTCGGCCATTCTTTCCCCAAAAGGTTGTCCACTGAGTCCACGGTTGCGTCCAGGGAGTTTACGAACTGCTGAGAGCACTGCTCATACGATGCACATACATCTCACTGCGCCATTGCGCCTGGTCTCATGCCGTGTCTCGTCCGCGGGCCTGTAGCCTCTCATCTAAGACTCCTCATGGAGCTTCCCTTGTCTCTCTTTCACGTTGATCCATTTTTGTACCAACATCTTAAAGGGTTCATGAAAACGTACATCAATTTGCCCAATGGCGGCCCCTTTGAGAGACTTTGAGATCTTTGAGAGGATCCACGCTTGGTGCCCATGCTTTGGGAGCTCAGTCAAAGCGTTGAACGAGTTCCAGGCACGCTATGTGACGGTGCAAAGTCTTGTTGTGCAGAGACGCAAGTCAACTGAGTTGCACTCAACAGGGACCAGGCGCTATACGAGCCTTGCTGATTCTTGTGTGGGCGACAACAAACTCCTAAGTTGATGGGACAAGGCTTCCAATGACAAGGAAACTTCAGATTTTAATACGCCCCAGAGCAGTACGAGGGCCAGCACTGGTACACTGGTCATTCAGAAGGTTGGACTCAATCTGTTCGATCCCGCTTTCAGCTACTCCCAGTGCACAGGAGTGCGTGTCCGAAGAGATCGCCAGAACTATGCTACCTGCATCCTGCCAGGCGGGATTGCTGCCGGATGCCATCCAACTTTTTCGTCGAAGTGTGGATGTTCGTTTGGAAAACGAGAACCTCTCACTTTGCATCGCAAACATTTGCAAATCTGTAGCCGTTTTCGGGCCGAAACCAGTTCATCGCGCCGCTAGCGCTGCCATGGCCATCACATCGCTGCGCCGGATCCGCGCAAAGACCGTTCGGTCGGCCGTGGCATCCGTGGCCTTGGGCGAACGGCTGCCGAATGCTGCATATGTCGCCACTGGCGCACTCTTGCTCTTCAGTTGCCCGAGGCATAGGGAAACGTATGCGTTTTCTGTCGGGAATTTCACAGAGAACCACCCAAAACTAGTGTCGAAAGGGGCACAGCTTTCTTCATACTTACTTTGTCTTAATATGTTTGATCTCTTGCTGCAATCAACGCACTCAGCAAGTTAAGGTTTGAGTCTCATCCTGTGGCTTGGCAAAATGGGACAGATTCCTCCGAACCTCAGGTTGAAAAGCGCTAGTGGCTCCAAAAGGCATTCGCCACTTGTTAATAGTAGTTTTGCAGGTTACTTGTGCGGAGCAGAGTGGAGAGCTTACAGAATGGTCATTGATTCAATGTAGAAAAGCCTACTTGGAGTGGACTACAGAGAAGCAAGTTCCGTTCTTGCACTGAGGTTCCCTTCACAGGACAGTAGTGCATCACGCGAGTTGGCTGGCAAGGCCTTGTGTCAATTTGCTTGGTGTGGGCAGAAGATTGTGGGTTTCACGACACTAGCAGTCTTTGGCTGTTTCATGCTTGCATTGACCCCAGCCTTGTCATTGTTTGTCGTTCATTTGGATTTGATAGGAAGCACGCATTCGACCGTTTGCGTCGACAGTCGATAGTCGGTCTGCGTTTGTCGAATCGACTCTCGGAACAGGCGACCTGCAAAGTTTGTCACGGCCGAGCACTCCTTGGCCTTCGCAGCTTTGTGTTGCTGCTCTTCACTTTGAGTGGAGTGATGCCATGGCTGAAGAACAAAATCATCCCTCAAATCGTCGACAGGAAGCAGTTTGAGGCAAGTCTTGAGCTTATAGATGTTGTTTTGTTCTTCCATTTTCATTGATGGTGAAACCAGAGGGTGGTCACTTTCAATCAATCCACATCACATTCACAGCCAATGTTCAATCTTTGAACTTGAAGCACAGCTAATCACACCATGCTCGAACATTGGTTCATCTCACGTCATGTCCCAAGCACATGTAGAGGCCAGCTTCAATTTGGATAAGTACTATGGCTTTGCTGCACAGGCCGTTTGCTGTTACAGATCTGAGTAATTGGACGACTTGAACAAGGCGATTAGTAGCGTCCTTGCTCCTAGTAGCGATGCCCTTTGCTCCTAGTAGCGTCCTTGTTCCTAGTAGCGATGCCAGGAGCCCCTAGTAGTTTCTTGTTCCTAGTAGCTTTGTTCCCGTGCGAGCTCTTGAGCTGTGAAAAAATCCCTGGCAGATTCTGTACCATTTTGTGCTGAGCGGTTGCTTTGCGACCGCCATCTACACAAGGCTGGGACGATCTTCCGCTTGAGCATCAGCCACAATCGAAGAAATTGAAGTTAAGGGTTCAGGGTTCAAGAAAGTGTTTGCAGCATCAATTGATGTCTTAAAAGATCCAAAGCCCCAAAGCCTTCAAACCACGCTGTTGCAATTTTGTAGCGTGCTGCATCCGCCCTTTGCCAGTGACAACACTCTCTACCACTTGGCTACACTTGCAGAGCCTGCCTATTGCACGTTCGACATCCTTCTGCTGCTGTTTACAGGCCAGCTGCACATTCGGTTCATTGTTCGAGGCAAATTCCAACAAGTTTGACTGTGGGTTGGATGCTTGAACAATTTGCATATACATGTTTTTTACCAACGCTCATACGAGTTGAGGTTCACAGAATCAGATCTTCATGTGTGGCTACTTGTAGGCTCAACGCTATCTCACATCCTTGACATGCTGATGGGGCACTACGATGTAAGGACAAAATCTTGCTCCACCCACAGCGTACTAATAAAGAGAAGCCCCGGTGTGATATCCAGGAGTTCGGAAATCTCGCATGGTATGAGAGAATTCGTCCATCAACACGAGACGGTGCGAATTGATGCAAGTTGTCATAATCCTTCTTCCAACCCATCCGATCATCTGCAGCTTGAGGTGTGTCTTTCACTCACTGGCAACTCAAGCCGCTGCTGGTGCACCACACCATCTCCTGTGCTTGTTGTCATGCATTAATGATGCTTGCCTTAAGTTGGTGGGATTATTCTGTTGGGGAGGAAACCACACACCTGGACAGATGGTGTAACTTGTGTTTCATTGTTGTACGTACTTGTTACACATTGTTGCACCGGTATCTCAAACAAATCTGGTCCGGAAAGCTTTCTCAAGATTTGTATGCAGTGGTTCGCTACAGGTGCATGAACTTCAGGAAATGTCAAAGGAATTCAATGGCATAATTAGTGAAAGAAGTCCGTGTATGGGGTGCACAGAGTCAAACAGACAGAAGCGATTAAGTTATGTCCGACTCAGCTTTTGAAAATGCAATGATCGATATGGAGCTTCCCAACAACGAGTTCATTTGCAGTGACTCAATAGTCATACGGTTGGAATCCATGTTGGATACGAGTTGCTGGAACTTCTTCGTGGATACCATCGGTCACCCTCAGGTATGGAATCCCTGAATCGATGTACGGGAAGCTCTTGCAGCTCGTCTTTCATTTGTCCAGCGGCTTTTGCTTGGGCATTGCCAACCTGCTGCAGACGCCGAGCTTGAAGCTTTCCACCCTCCAGAGGCAGACGTAAAAATGCACAAAAAAAAGAACCGGTAAAGCCATCTTGTCAAACATTCGGAAAGATCAGAGTACCAGCTTTGGCCAAACTTAGCAATTCTGGAGCCAGGCTTTGGTTGCAGGTGGTGTCTATGATGTTCTGGGCAGCGACTCGTGTTGGGTTGGTCTTTCTGTTGGGCATTTGCACTTTGATGGATGCAGCCCGGATCCTTGGAAGCGACGCTATTAGTAGCTCCTGGCCTTACTGCTAGGAGCAAGAAGCTACGACCGTAGCAAGACCTAAGGATTCACCCCGCCCAGTACCGACAAGTTATGGTGGAGCTGAACGCTGCAGCTATTGGCTCCTTCGCGTTTGTGGCTGGCCTGAAAATAACAACAATCATTCATAATTATCATCAAATGAGCCAGTTGCATCAGAACAGGCTCCCTCATTCTTTGTGTATACATTGCAGGAAAGTTGACGTTGTGTTGACAAAAACCGTTATGGTGACAGACTCGGACCCTCAGGTTATTTTGCAAGTTGTTGAAGTAGGTGTTATCCACGGCGCAGACGAGTTGTAGGTTCTGAGCGGATAGGGAACCGACGAACCAATGAGCCAATGAACAAGCTTTAAAGATCCGCCTGGTTGGAGTTCCGTCCGAACTCGAAGAGTCTTGGTTTCACAGAGCCGAAGAAGGCCGATTGGAGTAAGACCGTCAGGTGGTGATAAAGACGCCGATCATTACGAGGGCTTTGCAGGAGGCCATTCAAGAGAGCCTTGGCCAAGGGCGGCGAGTGACGAGGGTGCACGAAAGATCATGAGGGTGATGATTTTCTTCAGTTTCTAATAGGGTTTGGCTGGTTTGCTATTTGATCTAAGTTCCTTGGCAGAACTGATCAAATCCACTTTTGAAATGTTCTTTCACAATTCAAAATCCTTCTTTCCCTCTCTTTTCCTTCAAGGTATCAACAAGACAGGCGCGATCTTGAAGTTGGTCTGAACCAAAGCCCCAGGATTTGGAGCCGAGGAGCTGAACAGGAATTTGGAGCCCTAGTAGTAAGGCCAGGAGCCCCTAGTAGCGTCCTTGTTTCTAGTAGCGATGCCAGGAGCCCCTAGTGGCGATCCCATGATTTGACTGGAATTTGGACCACAGAGCTGGTGTCGTGTACAGTCACAGGCATAGATTTGCACAGTTCCAAGCCACGGTCGACCGTAAGCCGTGCGTAGACTGAAGAATATTCCGTCACAAGAGACTCGTATCAAGCACTAGATTTGTCGTGATGTGGGTTGTTGCCATGGTGCACGACAACCGGGGTCAAGCAATGCTTGACTGCTTGCCCTCGCTCCACAAAACTTATGTATAGAGTTGGAGTGATTTGGCCTGCTGAGGGAATCCAGTTGAATATTGCATGTATGTTCGGAAGCAGAGATATCACAACTGGAGTCCTTTCTTTAGGGCGTGGGAATACTTGGAGGCTCTTGAATTCTTTGTCGTGACAATGTCTTTGAAGGTCCTGTGAGGCCTGTATAGTGCGCAGCAATCATCGACCGATGATTGAATCGGAAGCTGCTTTCTGTTGCTGACAGACAAGCGCACCAAAAGCCCGTGGGGTCGACTTGAAGTAATGAGTCCGAAATACATTTGACTTCTGACAACTTACAGTAGTGGGAGCGTATATTCGATGGTTTTAAGATGCACAAAACACAAACAAAACCTGGCAGGTTGACTTCACTTGATTTTTCTTGTCGCAACTTGTGGCTTGCTTTCCTTGCCAAATGACACGGATTCAAGATGGGTACATCGACATGTCACCATTTGTACTGACTTCTTACCCTAATTGCGCCCTTTCAGCTCTCATTCAAAAAAGACAATGCAAAGGACCTTCCCATACGCTGGCTACAGTCTTGCACTGCTGCCACAACTATGAGTCGCTCCATTTCGCAGCCAGTAACGCTTGACCAATGTGGCCAGGGATGCTGTGGCACTCCAGTCGACACCGTCAGGGTGCCAAGGAATGACAGAATCGTTTTGTTACGAGCATTTCGAAGAGCATCGAAGCAAAGCATTCGCTCAGTCAACTTCTTGTGAGCAATTCGTGTCGCAGCTTAGCACGAGTTGGTCCATTTCCGGCGGAGAATGAGGCCCTATGGTCGGGTCAAAAGCACTTAGGCTGGGTGCTGGGCATCGAGAAGCTAGCGTTGCAGGGCATATTTTCGGAGGCCGGCTTCGTCGCTTCGGCGATCTTCAGCAGGACACACCAGGTTTCAATAAAGGAAAAAGATGAAAAGGATATATTGCTTCTAGGTTGGAGGCCATCGCCAAAAGAAAAAGAAGAACATATTAAGAAAATGAAATATAATGAAATACTGGACAAAACATATACAACCTCAATTGAAAACTATGTGTTCCACGTTCGCAGTGCCTGCGCCAGGACCTGAAAGACATGGACTTCCCTCAGAAATTGCTGGGAGATTTAGCGGGCAATGCGTTCACCACGCACGTGCCTAAGTGAATTGAGAGGTCTCCACATCCCTTGACTGGTTTGAATCTCACAACTTCAGGATGTCATGAGAAGATAAGGAATTTGTTCAAGGGCACAAAGGGGCCTCATTTAAAGGGGTCAATACCATCTTGCTTTTCTTTCTTTTGTTCTATTCTGTCTAAAATGATGATTGGATGGATTGGATGCATCGAAGATTTGCTTGGACAACACCCACAGTCCATCCAGGTTAATCGCAAAAAGGGTCACAAGAGCGTATGTCTGAGGTCCGTGTGTGCGGCCAACTTGCTTGCTATCCTTTGTTGTTCAA